CTCGCGTCACGCGAAGCGGGAAGTACCGGCCAATAAGACTGGTCCTATCGCAAGCTGCGAGAGCTGGAGGGCATGCGGACTCTGGATGCTACTGAATGCTACTGGATGCTACTGGTGCACTGGCTCCTAATGCTTTAAGCAAGCTGGGAGCCGGAACCCCTGATGTTCTCAACGACAATGGCTTTTCGTCACGTAAGGCCCTTTCACTGCCACCAGAAACGCATTCTGCCTGCTTGAGACGTCCGAAATCCAGAATTTGCCTGTGAGGATGGCATAAGTGCAACGGGATATCACCTACATAGCTCTAGATGGAGCGGTACGAGGTCGATCTCTACCAGCTCAACTGCTCCGTTGCGAACAAGGGGGACGCTGCAATAGCATTACTGGTGCTCAAGGGACTCGCCACCGATGTATCAAAGAATCCTCCTCTGCTTGGCACCATCAAGAGTGCCGTCTTGATCGATGGAGGCTCTGGAACGAAAACGACTGCTCAACTGATCGAGAAAACGATGATCGAGATCGAGCGGACTTATACCTACGTATCGGATATTAACGACCGATTGAAACTTGACGCCGTGGTTATTTCACGTTTGGATGCAGTGAGTTGCAACCAAACTTTTCAAGTTCTCGTCTCAGTCATGCTTGATTTAATTCTTATCGCGATTCATAAGATCATGCCAAGTATGTACGCCGCTCCCTTCCATGCGCTTCACCTATTGACACCTATCTGCAGGGGCATATTTGATTTTTCTGATGGTTCGCTCAATCCGAATGTGGATAAAAAGGGCGTAAAGGTACCGGGCTAAAGGGTCTATCTCAAATACGATAACACCTCCGTCCCGCCCAAGCCGTTGTCGACAATATATTTGCAATGGCCGTTCGACCCGGTAAAGACAGGGTTCAAGAACTCAATCGTACTGGGGGATCAATTCAAGTTGTGCCAAACAACCGATGAGCTTCTTGGCCGGAATGTTTTCAACGCTGCTAAGCTAACGGGGAAGACCTGGGACCTAATCACAGATCTCTCGACATTAATTACGTCTAATGATCCTTGGAATGGCGAAGACTGGTCGAAATACGGAGGTACGCCCGGTCTCTACGTCGTTGGAGCGAACTCGGTATTAATCGGCAACACCACGCCTGTCGCATCTGACGTGGCTTTCCGAAGTGTTCTGCCCACTACAGACCCTGCGTCTCAAAATTCTCCAGTCATTCAGACAATGGTAATCAATGATCCAGGCGTCCTTAGTTCCAAAGACGGGAAGAACCCGGGAAGTCTAGTACTGCTTCTAGTGTGGAAGAACAAAGATAAAGAGAAGAGTCCTAAAGTGTCCCTGTATACGGCCGGTGATGCAGAATGGCCCGCTGAGCTCAAGGTTGCGAACTTCATTAGAACGGAGAAGATTCAAGTCATCAAGGGGGGACATCATGGCTCAGCAGCCGGGACCGGCCCTCAATTCATAGAGAAGGCACGCCCGGATCATGTCATCTACTCTGCTGGTGTCGATCACGGTCACCCAGGTCAGCTCTTTTTACTTGGGGTTCTCGTAAATGCTGACAATACATTTAGTTCCTGAGATCATACTCTACCTTGATGCTTGGTTTTTCTGCAAGAAAGCATATGACAGCGAGGACAATAAAATCACAAAGAAACTACATGCACCATGTTACCCATACCAGCTCGGGCTTGTTAAAGAAGACACGGTAAAGGGTGTCCAGACAAAGGGTCTCCGGAGGGTCAAAAACAAGCTGACGGATCCTGACAAATTCACCAACACGTACAAGGACAAGAAAACCTCGCCTACCGCCGTTGACACATTATAGTTTGCTTTTGTTCAATGGCTAGAGGCTCAGTATGCGAATTATAAGCCCCCGAATGAGCCAGGCATAATTCAAGAGTACACCATCGCATTAGCCAATTATGTCAATGGAATCAGGACCGCCAACGGAGGTAAGGAACCCTACAATCCAGGAAACGAAGGTACGGCATCAAAGGAACAAAAAGATACTTGGGCTGCGTATCAAGCAAAAAAATGCACCTTACTACAGGAGATTCTTGTAACACGGTGGGAAAATTGGTCAAAAACAACGTACGACATGTATCCTACTTGGACGTTTAATAAATCACCGGTCCTAGCCACGTTTGTGCATATCGACTACGTGTATGTAACCTTTTCGTATCAACAATCAGGATCCAATGATTCTCTTCAATCGACCGTGCAACTACGCCAGATTGGCAACCTGAAGGAAGATATGGGTAGTGACGTTGATACGTCCAAGGCTGCAAACATTGAAGCATCGGACGCTGAGGCGGACAAGACTCAGACCGATGACAAGATTGAGGTCATCATTGTTAATAATACGGAAGACGAAGGCAAAATATCCAATGACGCAGAGTTAGAGCAAAGATCCGTTGGCATTGAGGATTTGGCCAACGATCCATTGAAAGGTGCTGTCACCAGGTCTGCGGTCGTTCAGGGCACTAAGAGACCTTTGAACGGACAATTCTACTTTCGCCCTGCAAATGGGCCGACAGGTATCGATACCATCAGCCTTGTCTACGGGTCCAATACAGCACAGGGGTAGCTAGTTTCTACTTGCAATCTTTTCCGAAGCGTGCCGGGATCTACGAACTAAGGAAGGGTAGCCAGGCTTGGTTGTTGGCTGAAAAGTTTGATCACTTCTCCCAAAAGTGATCAGGTTCTATGAGCTCCCGAAGGGCAGCATAAATAGAGTCTCAGCTACGGGAGTATCCCTAAGCTTCTTCGGACACTCTAGTTTTCAATCAGGACTAGCGTCCGCGCGAAGCGAATGTATCACAGACATGCCCACGGATCAGAACACCAAAAATTCACTGCATCTATTAATTGAAAGACCATAATTTACGACATTCATAATGTACTGGTGGATCAAACATACGCTTTGGTGTCAAAAATGTCGGCTAAGGGTGCGGTCTACAGGTCTACCTTTAGTGTTATGAAATGCCTTCACGAAAGTGTATCGTCTGGGCTGCGACACTGTGGTTGGGGGTGAAATTCTAAGCAGGGAAGCTAAGCTCGCAGCGAGACTCGTCCCCCGAACGATAGTTAAGGCTTAGTTTTACAGCATCAATTGTCCTTGGCTTTTTTCTTGGCCGAACATTGTCTCCAGTTGTACGCCAGTATTAGTCACAGACAATCAGATAAGGCATGATCATTTCCGCGCACTATCGGCTAAGTATCTGTTCTCAATTGAGGAATCCTTTAGGTATATTTCTAGCGTCTGCCAATATCACGTTGTAAGCGCTGGCAATGCACGGACACAGTCCTTGTTTTCATATTCAAACTTGGTGCGATCTCCAAAAGATATTAGAAAGGATGTTGAGCGCGCATCTTGTCCCTACACTGCTGAGTCTCGTTCCCCACGTGATTCCGTCTGTCACTCAGAGCATCACCTTTGACGCGGCGCTAAGAAGTCGTTTCGATGCAGCAAGAAGCAATATAAGCGCTTCAAATGTGGTGCCTCATTTAGGTCAGCCCCCGAGCCCTGGACCTTGACCATCGGAAATTACCACTATGTCGCTCATGACTATCGCACACCCCATATGCCTTACGACACAGCCTTACGTTTCATGAGGGAATTCATCCTGGATGAATACAAAGATGTGAGTTCTTCGTACAGCCCTTCCACCTGCCCCTCCCCCCACGGACTCACCAACGACTACCGCGCGCAGGCCCTATTCCACCGAAAGTATTCCGAAGACCAATACACGCCGTGGCCGCTCGATTACCATATCACCGGCGTGCCGGGCTTGGAGCCGTTCCAGATCCGAGGCGCCACCGAAACCCCTGAAATGGGCGGCATGTCGAATATACTGTGGGCGTAAGAACTCGGTTATATCTATGAGTTCATCGAGCTGTGGAAAGATGAAGGATATGTGCCTACGTTCAATTTTTCTTATTATAGAGTGCCAGAAGGGCAGCCACCGCCGTATACGACGTGGAATGTGGTGTTGACGGAGTATGGACAGACGGTAGCTCTCTGAGTCATATTTTAACAATTAGAAAGGCTCGAGAAGTGGGATCGTTCTTAGGCTCTTTGGACATCCAAATTTGGGTAGGGACACCAAACACGCACGTTACGGGGATATAGTTGAGTCAGAAATGTTTCCGCTGTTGATTGCGGCGAAATACGACGTCAAGTTGTCGAACCTCAACTTGTATATCATCGCATTAGTGAAGTATGAAGTCCTTTCTGCGGTCCAACGAAACGATACTTGGCTTATGCATCTTCGATGTAGAATTGCGTCATCTGTGATATGTATGGCAACGGAGAAATGGTGGTCTGCTTGTTCCCTGCCTTCCCAAGAAGCATGACGTAGTAGGGTGCATATGTGAGAAAACATTCGTGTGACATATTTACATAACGTCATTGGAAGAGACTGTGCGAAATCACCAACACGTCTTGGGATTCTAAGCCGAAACTTAGTATGTGCGCTTTCTCGTTTTTTTTGACTAAGGCTCTTCTCCTTCGCCGACGAGGTAGCTAGCGTAAGGGCAATTGTATGTAGATCCATGAAGCGCCATGACCATATATCGCTGCTTTCGAGAGACCCACAAGGCCGTGATTGTTATATAGCGTGCTGCAACTGGGGCACTGTTGCTGAAGCCTCACACTTTGCGTGAAATGTTGGCACACATGTGCGAAAGTGGAAAGAACCATAAAAACTGCAATGTGTTCGTCTGGGATCTGAGGAGAGCGAAGACCGCTCTCAGACGGACCCTCACCTGGGAACATTCTCCATGTAGACCCCGGCGAGAAATCGAAAAACAAACAAAGTGGGGAAGAGAATACCTCCTATTCTGTTTTCTTAACTTTCTAAATTGTCGTCCTTTGATAGCTTGTTCAACGAGATAAGAATGTTGTCTAACGCAATTGTACCTTGACTCCTTGGAACATTGAAGACCATTGAGCAAGCAAAGGTTAGCTTGTCGACCGCCATGTTGATCCAGAGCCACGAGCTTTGCGCCTGACTAAGCCCACTTCGTAGGTCGACTTTGATACTACATCTGCCGCTGGAAAAGCTCTGCGGAAGAATCTCTTGTCCGCTGAGTCCAGGCTCCGTTGCTCCAAATATGACTGGTGTTGTGCTACGGGGCATCTTCAAGGAGGCGACAAGACAATCGCAAACCTTCGGCCATGCTGTTGACAAGCCTGTGGTACAGTTTAGATCGGGGCTACTGAATGCTTCGTCGATGCTATCGTCTTGCGCTGAGAGCTGAGCGGGCAAAGTGAGAAAGAAGACGATTCCAAGAATCGTAAAAACCATTTCACGTGGTGAAGATGTCATCCGTAAGCGAGTTTTCAGGTTGCAGATTGTATCGGGCAGTGAACGTCTGATATCAATGGCAAAAGAGACAGCGCATGGACACAAGACATCGCAAAGGAGCAGCATCTCGCTTACTCCTTGCCTTCACCGCAATTAGCTGGCAAGGCTTCAATGTAATCTTGGTTGCACCGCGTTGACGCTTGTGGCACAGACTCACACTGTAGCCCGCAACTACTAAAAGGATTGGAGGCCTATGAGCGGCGCGAACTTGAGCTCTTTTTGCGCCCAATAATAGCGCGTCATTGAAATTGCCTGAAGCGCTTCGGACCATGACATGCAAATTCGGCGTTCTGACCCACTTGGATCATTACTGCATCAAATATGCAGCACGTTACCGCATAATGATTTTGGCGAGGTATTTGAGATATTCAAGGGATATGGTCAGCGTCACTTCTAAGCGCAGAATTACACCTGGTGCGTCACAAAAGACGGGTCTGCAGCCCCTTCTCCCGACGCAGGATCGGCAGGAGACTCCTGGTATTGATGATCCGATGTATATTTAGACAACAAGAGAATGAAAATATCAAGCAAGACATGTTCAGCCTCACAGGTAGCATACTCGCATAGGGAGCAGCCCCTCATTTCGTCCCCTTAATTAGATAGCTTAGAGAAAAGCGATAGTGTGCACATGAAGGGGCAACGCCACCTGCAATGCAGGAGCTGTATACGGCAGCATTCCCCCGTTACATTGTCCTAGAAATCTCCGCTTGGCTACACGCCTCATAATCTTCGCCTACACCACGGAAAAATATCGCTATCTCGGCCATGATTTCCTCATCCAGCGACAGCATTATCGACGAGAACAGGCAATTGAGGTATTTTGGACGAGCACTTGGACATTGCACAGTCGAGACAAAGGTTGACCTACTGTCGCAAGGTTGTCGGATATGTGCCGTGCCGTACAGCGGTACCTGCCCGGCCTTCGTGGCGACAAAGTCAGAGCACAGGTGCTTTGGTGATAGGGCCGGTGGTGCACATATTAGTATTAGCAAGTCAAATCAAAGAGGTTGGGACAAATAGGCTCTCGCACCGGTCGGTGCATGGTGTCTTACCTGTGATGCGACTCATCTCGCCCAACAAAACTTTACATCGCAGGCACGAGGACCACCCGGCAAGCAGAAGTGCAGAAGTAGGATGCTGACGTGGCTTTACATTGAATCGAGATAGAGAGTTCTGCAATTGCTATGTATGAACAGAGACAGCTCAACTTCATTCATCAAGTATTGACTGGTAGGCTGACGTTAAATGTTGACGCTAGGGTATACTTTGAAGTATATCTTTTCTTCACTACGACCAAGATCGAACTTTCAAATGACTAGAGACCCCAAATTATAGTACCATCGACCATTGATGCACAAATCAACGAGCCTGAAAGCTAGTTCCAGAAATGATACTTACTTTGATTATCCTTTTAACTTCCATAGTCTCGTCGCTGGAGGTAAGGTGGTGGCAAGTTTATTTTGGGCAGCAAGATGTTCCAAACGAGATACCAACTCCAGACGACCCTTTGGCCTCGTCATCTAATTCAAATGGACTGCAGAGTTTTGACCTATTGAATGGCTTTGAGAACGTTCCAACGCAACTGGGTGACCGAGAGCTCGGGCGTCTCTATTACGCTTATTCCGGCCAAGATAACGTAGAATCACATACTTGGCAAAGTACTTACGGTCTATTTGGTAATTTGCTTCAGCTACTTCGCAAAGCCAGCCACGTCTTGCTCCCTCATTAAGGCAAGCAATGCCCTCTTTCCGAACTCACGGATGGACTTAAAGTATCAAATGCCCATACTTGTGGACCTTTTTATCTCTGCTTGATTGGAGCGTTGGCAGGCATCGACCTGGAGCAAGAAGGCTCTCCTGAAGTAACGGCGGGTAATGCTTTCAGCGACTGTTTCTGGGATTCCAGCACCGGAACACAACCAGCTGCACGAAACTTTGTGTGCCAAATAGACCTGGTGCCAATCGGAATTTGTACAGCCCAAGGTGCCCCTTGAAAAACCTTGGTTTGGGAACTCTCAAAAACTGGCTGGGTGGACGCCGATACTGATTACTCATCAAATTCTTTCGTTCAGGGGGGTTATGATCAGAGAATAGATCCGAGAGCTTGTCCTCCCCTTGGTATGACTAGCCACATGTATGAAACGCCGGACATCGCGCCTTTTATGTGGTGGCCGAAACCCCATACAGGTGACTCTTTAACAAAGCGACTTGGACTTCAACTTCTTGGTGAAGGTACCTATGATTGTACCTTAGAACAACCTTGTGAAGAAGACTTTAGGTATTCAGATGTTGGCTCAAGGGCTTCATATTCGCAAGGTAAGGGGGTATTGCGGTCACGCTGGGGCTTCCTGGTCTTTAATTCGTTGCAAAACATAACTCGGCAGCTCAACAATCAATGGTTTGCACTCGGCCAAGCACTCGCAGCTACAGCCCTCAACGCTTTCAGCATTGATGATTCTACCCAACCCCGAATGCAAATGACTTTTTTGACAAATTATTGTCCGGCATTGGACCTGTGTTGAGCCTCTTCTCCGGACTTGCACCATTGGGCGGGGGACTCGAGGCCTCGGCACAGGCCTTATCTGCTTTCAGCTCTTTCTTTTCGAATTCGATCAGCAGATCCAAGGATCCAAACTTCGCACAAAAACAGTTTGCCCCCTTTGCTGAAGCGGTGTACGAACAATTCGCGAATGCACTCGACAACGCAACTACCAGTCTCTTTCGAGGAGACAGAGTCAACGATATTACTCTTGCAGAGATGATAAAAGATGGCGTTTGGGTGAATTCATCAGCGTTATCAAGGTTTAGTAATCTACAAGCGAACATAGACATCGAGATCACCTCTCGCGCTATCGATGCATTGTGGAAAACGCCTCCAAGCAAATAAAATGTGGGTCCTGTTTATCAACTCGAATAATGTTGAGGGCAAAAATAGCAGATGTGTGATGGATCAGTCCGGTCCAGCGACTTCTAAGTACTGTGGTGATGGAGGTGTTTACTACGTCTACAACTTCATAGAATAAAACCCGAGACTCAATGGCTACCTAGGCGATCCATGGGGTGCAGCAAGATTGCCCGAGGTCGGTCTTAATTTCACGGTATGCCGGAACACCAACATCTACGTTCCCCGTGATGGTGACTGTCTCATACTAACGATCACCAGTGGGTGGCTGAAGCATCTGCGAAAACATTCCGCCTGAACAGACAATCTGCCAATAGTTGGGGTCCCTTTGATTTAGACTCAGTCAAGGCGACAAGCAGCCTTTTTCAAGCTTCAGTCGTGCCGTTTGGATGCTCTGATGTTCTAGACTGCGCTGGCCGATATCCCGGAAGCTGGACTCTACCTGTCTGTTATGTTTCGGATCACGGGACAAACTGGGCGTTCAATCACAACACCACTGAGTACAAAGATCACCCTGCAGGCTCGAGATGGGCACCAGACGAGCGAAACAAGCGACATCCACCCTGCATGTGCGGTATGTCGCAATTTTTCAAGGAATATGAATCATACGTGCTGATCGATGTCCAAGGCCCTGGAGCCAGCAAGACCGTACATTGGGTGAAGGCAGCCAATATGTTTCACTTCAGTACATACCACAATACTTGTTCGAAGGTCCTAAGATCAGCGAACTTCCCATGGCCTCCTGGAGTCACCAACATTAGCTATGGATTTGGTGATCCTATCATGCAGCCATAAATGCTCGTGGCCTTCGGTCTCCCGCAGCAGTGATGTTTAAGCCTTCGTAACGACTCCACTCCAGGCTCTTCATATATTACTCCAGATTTTTTAAGGTGTCGCATAAAGCGTGCAAAATCTGGTATCATCACAGAGATTGTACAGCCGATATGTTTATCAAAAGCTGGCCGCTTTGGCGTGGGTCTCCAATGGAGCGACATCGGGGATTGTATAGACATGAAACCACCTCCCCACGTCATGGGAACTACGCAAATAATCTTACGCCACTATTCAATTATCGATATCCTATCAGATCTCTGCAGTCACACACGTTTGATCTACACCGAAGTCGCTGAAACACCTAGTAAGGTAGCTACGGGACTGCGCCGCAGTAAGAGAACTTTCCAATGACAGCGCATTCCAAGCCCACGTTTATCATATCAGCAAAAGCTTAGGCTGAATCAACTAGGTTGGGGATTTTTAATCTCTCGGCAGCATATGACATCGCACGATGGGATCCTGGAATTAATTTATTGAGCGCAGGGCTGTGCAATTTTTGAAGACCTGAGCAAATTACTTTTGTCAAGTGCTGGTGCGATCTTCATGCTTTAATCTCGTCTGGTCAATGATTATGAATATTTTAAAGACATTTTGAACATTATGAAACGATATCATGACTGCTTGGCTCGGAAAGCTTCGCCTGGGTACTGGTCGTGGCATCTCTAGTGCGACCTTAGTCACAAAGTTGAGAACGTCTGCTCCAAGCATAAGGCTTCAATCCTTTTCACCAACTCTTTCTGAATTCATCGTCTGCTTAATTAGGTTATGTAGCTTTATCTCAATGCGATGATGCATGAGAAGTATACCCCACGTGCGGCATGGATCAACGCTGGGGCCAACATACGCAGGCCCGCCTTGAGCAGAGGCGTCTCATTCGATCATCAGGTCTCGTCATTATTGTCTATTGAACTTTGTTGCAGCCCCTGCACAACTCGATGACAAAGGCTTAAACCTGCAAATGTGATTGGCCTGCATCCGGCTTATCAGACGACTGGGGCTGTACAATGTTATTAATGCTTTTAACATGCTTAAGTGCCGCAAAGAATGTTTTGGAAGACCAACAAGTCGACCTGAAGGCTTGTTAGGCCCTGATCGAAGTTAGCTGATGTTCAAATTATGTCATACGGAACAATAAAAGGCTTTGATCGCCAGGTAAACTTGGTCTCTTCAGACAGTCTGCTGCGCCGGGGATCAGAGCATCGACTGTTACGCAAGGTCATTGGAAAGTAGTAACAGAACAATATCGCAAGGATGAAAGTCTACTGCACAGCTTTCTATTTCACTCTTGCGTCCATCATCACAGCCAAGGTCGTTCTTTCCCTACCACAAGCCGCTGATCAAGCCGCCTCCTCCACAACCAGCTCAGCTATAGCGAAGGCGTCAGACACAACCTCGGATAAGGCCCAAGCCGTGGCGGGTTCTACAGACATCAAGCTCGCCATTAACAACATCGACGCTGACTGGAAGACTCTTACCTGCACTAATCCTGCCGTGACGGACGCGACTATCAACCCCGAAGAGCGGTGGACGAAACTCGACTGTAACGATGCCTGGGATGCTGCCGTGTCGGCCGTTGCGACCGCCACAAATACCGCGGGAGTCACATTTCCCCAGCTTATCTCCAACTTCTTCCACGGGCCAGATAATATGGGGTGCGGTGCTCTCAGTGCGAAGAATGGATGCAACCAGGATGTTCTGTGTGTCGATCCACCTGCGAGCTACGTCCCAGGCTTCGAAATCCTGAATTCATTTGTTGGAATTAGCAGTGTAAGCATTTCGTTCCCTTACCCTACCAAGCTTGTTCAGACTTCACCCCTTTACACGCCAGGAATTGACTTATGATCAGTTGAACTACAACATCTATGATTCTCTTACAAAGGCGGAAGGTCAGATCACGACCCAGGTTGGGGAATTCGCTTCTACCTTCGCGCCTATCGATCCGAGTGTAGACGCATGGAAGTTAGTCCTCGACCTAATTGGCCTGAGCTTCGCGCTCGCTGTGTCGCCCCTGTGGAATGCTGGTGAGATGACAATGCGATACCTCTTGTGAGAACACACCAACTGACACATTTGCTCTATCTCATAGCATTCAAGAAAATTCCGTTTTTCAAAGCCAATCCCAACACCCTAGGCACGATCAAAGATAGTGTCAATCCGCTTGTATCCAATGGAGTCACGTTGATTAAGGATGGCTCTGTCGCGTAAGTTATACATTAGTTGACGGCGACTGTCATACTGAGGGTCTTTACAGTGGTGAATCTTTGAACAACCAAAACACCTTGGAAAAGAATTTGGGTGACTTTGTTGAAGTATGGGCCAACACCCTCAGTGCCATCAATGAAGGGTTGTTCAGCGGAAAGGATGATGACATCAAACAACTACACGATTTGATCGACGGAGGCAAATGTCTCCAAGCTGGCGTACTACTCGACGACGTAGTTGTCAGCGAGGCGATCTCGCAAGCTATATTCGCCTACATGATTCCGCAAGCATGGGCGCTGAGTAGTAGAGACATCCATCCAGTCGTGATGTAAGGGCATTGTTACGGACGAGATTGAGCCCAAAGCTTACGTTGTACTGCAGAAACACCGGTATCGATTGCGGGTCAGACGACAAAGTGGATGCAAAATACCTCGTTGCCGGTGACGCCGAGAAAACGAAAACGTGTGTCAACAACAAGATCTACCACGTGCTCTCTGTATCTGGCAGCGGGACTGTGCAAGGTTCGAGCCAGTTCGGGCCCGCTCTGCCCACCTTTAGGACGCTCGAGGTACCGCCGGGCCTGGATGCGTTGGACGGAAAGCAATGGGGAGGTTTGACTAAGGACAATATCGCCGCCGCGTAAGCTCAATTCACATACCCCATTGATCCCCTCGATTGCGCTCTGTGAACAGGGACTGACGAGCGTGCTACCAACAGTGCTGTGGCGACATACGCCAAAGCTGGCAACCAAAATGGTGGCGCAGCGATTGATCCCAGCACTGCAGATGGGGTCTCTGACATCTTTGATCATGGCGTCGAAGCTGCTGGTATTGTCTCGATCCCTATTTGCGGATACGATGAGGCGTGGAAGAATTGGTGCGGGAACAAGAAGACGGCTCACTACCCTTGCAATTGAGTCTGTTTAACAACGAAGCTGCATTTTATCATGACTATGATGAGAGACCATGTCACAATGAAATTAGGGCACCCAGCTTTGTAGAGAGGGACACGTCGTCAGTGACTCTTTTAGGGGACACCTGAGATTTAGGGACCTTGGATGGAGAAATTTTGGTGCAGTAAAAGACACTTGAGTTTTAGAGGGTCTAGAGAGTTGTTCAAGCTTATAGCAGAGAAGGGACGATTTCTTGTTTATTGAGGCTAGAAACACCATGTCTGTACTGCAAGAATAGATTGAGAATGAAATCTTCTTGTTGATGCTCACGAGAGCGATATTACGAACACTCGGGCGTGTTATTAATCAGGATTCTCGACTGCATCCTCACTTTTGTCTCATATTCCTGTTCTTAGTAGGGGTCATCATGTCGACTCCAGATGGGATTGCGAATTGAGAGGCATTTCTGGTTTACCTATGCCCTTAAATCACCCACCCCATGGTCTTGTACCCAGGGCTTTTCTACGTAAATCATATTTCTAACATTTTAGGAAAGGCCCGAATCTGATTCTTCAGTATTTCACCCCTCGAACAACGCTGAATTAGTTTGAAGATTTATTTGTCTTATGTTCCTGATGCATTGAATATGTTGTGAGAATTTGAAGTTGTTCTATAATAGTTGTGCTTTGATATGAAAAAAGGTTTGTCGGAAATATGATTCATCTAGAAAAGCCCCGAGTCTAGAGAGTACTCATGGATCCAGGAACGTTCGCGCTGTTGGGAACTTTCAATAAACTCGGATCATGATACGCTCGTGAAGCTACTATCACTGGATTTTGGCGTGCTTCACGCGGCGAAGACAACACATGAACAAAACTACAAATCGATGAGCGTCAAACGAATGGTACATCAGAGAAGTCGAAAATTTCCACCAAGTTCATCATTAAACACTGGCCATGTGATCCTCCGTAAAGCGAGAAAGCGCAGCCAGCTCTTTATCTATATTAGTCCCTCTTTCGGCAAGTCAGAGTTAGGAACGATGAACTTCAATGGTAGCTGGGCCAGCTACGATATTGTCGTCCGTCAAACAAGTATTCGAGCTCGAGAGGACGACATATGTCAAGCCATTGAGGGGAGGGTAGCCCTCTGGCGCTGTAGGTATCGTAGTGTTGAATCCTCCATTGTTAGGAAGACGGATGGTTCTGCGAGATGATGTCAGTATGGCCGACAAGGAAACCGATCACCAAACGCAGAGGGACAGTAGAAAGGGTTAAGAACAGTGATGCAAGGTCAGGGATTCAAGAGGGGCAAGGATACGTACGGAGCGAATACTGGACCCATGAGGGTTAGAAAGGCAGCGTAAAGTGGGTCGGAATCGGACTTGAGTTTGATATCTTGACCGTACGTCACAAAGGTAACTTCTCTGCCAACGGCTCCGAAGTTGCTAAACGATGACGAAAGTGTGGAATAATTCTGCCCATTGCACATCAGCAGTGTCACCATGTATCCAAAAGCGCATGATGAGATACCTTGAGGCCAAGAGGATTATCCTCTGGGCACGACACGGTGAAGAGTTCAACCAGGGTGTGAGCCTCATCAAGATCGATTGGGGTGTCGTATGGAGATGCGAAGGGCTGATTGCCGAGCGCGGCGCGTATGAAGGACGAATGCCGCGCCTCAACGGCTAAGACAGACGAGAAGACCTTGAGGAAGGCAGAGCCTCTGAGTTGAGATAGTACATCGATGTAAGCGCTGACGCTGACCGACTCGATCAGAGATGCCGTGGTGACGAATACAGAGGGATTAGTGACGTTAAAGTTGTACTTGCATTCGGCCACGGGGCTAGCCTTAAGACGGCGGAGCTCTGTGGTCACGTATGTGACATGGGTATGCTCTTGTGATGCAATTTCTGTCAAATTCGAGTAGAAGCTGGCATCGAAGCCGTAGTTCGCGAACTGGGCTTGAGTGAAGTTCTTGAGCCCTTCCCGGTAGAAGGCGTCCTGAAAATGTTCAAGGCCTAGGACGAAGTTCAAAATTTGAGACTCGGTGTACTGCGGTTCTTTGGAAGAGACTGCATCGCTAATATCGATGTGTTAGCGAAGAATTGCACACGTGCTGGATCTTGGAAACTTGGAGGAGCAACAACACACCTCTTGTTCAGGGCAAGGGCTCCGCTAAGGCCTATGCAACATGCTGCGATAGTCAGGTACTTCTTCATGATGAATTACTGGTAGCTCTGAGTAATTTTCGTGGAGTTGATCTGAATGATAGATGTGGAGTTGATCTGAGTGATAGTTGTAGACTTGATCCGAGTGATAATCGTGGAGTTGAACCGAGATAGGGATTTTCGAAGGGGAATCATCGTAGAGTTTATATAATTGACATCCATGAAACGGCCCCACGGCCATCATCACATTCGGAGCAAACGTCCATCCGTCTGCCATGCCATCGGAAAGATAAGCCGCCCAGCTGAGAAACGCTGCTTGATGTCCGTAATTTGACTCGGCTGTGGTGCCTCCTCGAATGTGTCAAACACCGCGTCGGCACGTGTATTTATGGGGGCGCAGCAGGCACCAAGGCTGGAGTTCGGTAGATCGTCATCAGAGAGGATTCTTGTAGATCCACAATTCGAAGGAGTGCGAATGAGCTCACCCTATCGAACAGGCATCACCAGAATGTTTATAGAAACCCTATCGCAAGGGTGTCCCGTATTGAGTCTAGCCCCAGGCTTAGATCGGAAGTAGACAGGCTAGCCATAGATAGCTAGTGTGCTCGATGTCAGCCCTAAGGATAAGCACTAGCCTCTTGCAGTGGTCCCTTGCGAATTCAACTCGCATCTTATACACAACATACCACATTGGCCCGCTTGTCCATCATGTATACAGAGCGCCGGGAATCCAAGGAGACGATGTTAGCAATGAGTCATGTTCCAGGATGATTTCTTGAGCGATCATGGCCGATCGTAGGTATTGTGATCAAGTCTAGGCGAAGCAAGGTGAAAATTTTTTGACCTGCGTAGAACTATCACAGTGATCTCGAAGAGAACACGCTACTCGACCCTTCGGGAAAACGGATGGTTTATCACGGCCCCAGTAGCGGCTGCAAGGTTTGCCGGACTCGCCGAGTCAAAGTCGGACTCTCCGTTCGTACCATCATATTGCAGGGGAGTTGATCAAGACTAGTGCGATCGAAATGAACCAGCATGCAACAACTGTATCCGCCGGCAACAGAATTGTCCAGGTTACGGCGACGTTTTTGATGGCGCTCACAGATCCCAAAATCAGATCATTCAACGCCGATTGGAAAGAAAGAGTGTCTGTACCAGAGTGGCTCATCCGAGTTTACAGCAGCCGCTGTCGGATGCTGAGAATTCAGCGCTCGTGCCTACAGGTTCGGCAAGTCCCACGGTCATCAATCAAAATAATAGAATCTCGCAACGTGTCTTCGATCCTACAGCAAGCTGGCCATTGTTATCAACCCGAGAAATTTCGGATCTGCAAAACAAGGGGTCATCAGCCGCTATGGTTGGTCAGGGACTCAGCGCGTTGGATGATTCTGTGCCCCACGCCCTTGCGCAGAATACGCAGGATATCTCCCTCTGTTTCTTCTTCCGTCATTATGCAGGAACAACTTTCGACCCAGAGTCCCGAAATAGCTTCAACCAGCTGTGGCAACCAATGTACCTACAAGCCCCAATCCAATCATCCTTACGACTCGCAACCAGTGCGGTGACTGTCCATATTGCCAAGATATGGCGCTTATGGGCCTGCACAGCCCAGGCTGTGAGAAGCCTCTTCATTCGAGCAGTCGCCACCACCCAAAAATCCTTGCAGGAGCCTGAGCAAAGCTCAACAGACACGATCCTGATGACTATCCTAGTTTTCGATGTCTATGATGCGCTGCTCTTGCATTATGATCCAAGTCCTGTCGACTACGGAAAACACAAATATGGAGCCTTGGCGGTAGTTGAGCACCGTGGCTTCGCTAATCTCGCGACACCGAGAGCCCGTATTCTCACCGCAGCTGTGCGCCATACTCTGCTGTCACATGTGCTCTCTTCGCGAGAAGGTTTCCCAGAGCGGTTAGATTTCTTGTTTCGCCATCCATCGATGAACGACACGAAAGCAGCAAAACTCGACCACATATGCGTTCAATTGTCTCGCGTTCAGAAGCGTCTTTGGACACGGCGCAAGAACTTAAGCGAGAGGCGGCGAGAGAGCTATAAGGACATCATTGCAGAAGCGTTGCAAGTCGAGCAGCTCCTTCTGGATTGGGAAGCGAGTATCACTAACCCAGACTGGTTACCCCAGTACGTCCCTCGTGATCTGGTGAAGGAATCGATCCAGATTTCCGGCTTCTACGGCACAAGCTGTATTGTCTGGGAAGACCTTGACCTTGGGGACATGTGGGTCCTTTTCTCCATGCGCTATTTGCTCGCGCTGCAAATCATCCGACAGGCATGTGTGGACGATAGTAACTTCTCACGCAACGGCGAACATGAGGCGCTTGTCTCTAAAACCAACAAAAAGGCACAAAAAGTTATTGATTTCGTCTGCGGAACAGTACCATTCTTCCTCGGCGATCGTGTCGTCCCTAAGCCTCCCACAGACAGCATTTCGATCAGCTTCCCCTACAAAGTCATGCGCGATCCGAAGACCGGAGTACCTAAGTGCGTACCTGGCTCGAAATCCAGTCATCACAAGCAAGCAGCTGCATCAGGGGGTTGGATTCTGTTTCCGTACTTGGTGAACGTGTGGCGCCTTGCGGAGCCAGAGGATGACGCTCTCTCAATTACTCTGCGGCAGGGGCAGCTCGAATGGATCAAAGCGCAGGTGAAGCGGATGCAGAATGTTTTCCAGTTCTGCGAGCCTGTGTGGTTCAAGAGACATTTGGCAACATGATACAATACGATCACCGACCAACGTCCACGATAACTGTCCCCTCTACCCCTGGGTCTAATCATGATAACGATAATAGTATGGGCTCAAATTATAGAGGGCTAGTATATAAAAAGAATAGCTTACAGGAAGCAAGGCGACAATGTGTGATGCAAAATAGCGTATTGCGAAAAAGCGAGACTAGATGTAGTTTACTTACTTCAGTCTTCAACAAACAGATCCGAAGGCTCTAGCATCATCTCATATCTATCCGTAATCCTCATTCTTCAATCCCTAAGTTCTCAAAGGGCGCGCTCGACAGTTAACCTGCTACTCTATCTCCGTTGCCTCCCTGATCTTCCTCTATATCTCTCGCCACATTTTCGGCATATATAAGAACTTTTCCTTTTGCCTAAAAATCTCATAGATCTCATAAACGGCAGTTTTGTGAGACGGTAAGGACCTGCGATACTCTATTAGTCCGTTAACAAGGGAGACGCGATGAGTATCTTCGTATCAAGAGCTTTTGCAGCGAGACGTCCAGCCGAAATAGGATCATTTGTATAATAGAAAGTGGTGCTCTCAGGACGACTCGGGCGTGCGAGCAGGATAGGAATTTGGTTGGGAAGTTTTTATTGCCTAGGTCGGGATGGTGTTATGGCGGGAACGCAGCCAGCTCTAGAAATTGAGGTAATCAGAACGTCATTGTTCGTGCGGACCAACGTCGTATTTGTTCTGGCCCCTTAATGATGCACTTACCGCAGCTTATGTGACATTGTAAGATTGTTGGTCTCGTGCATCCGTCACAGGGCTATCACCCTTTCGACATCCTTGCAAGATTGTAGTAGTCAGGGGTTGCTTACCACGCTTATATTCCTTGCCCGCGCCAGTCTTCTCTGCGTTGGATTTTTCCAATCTGAATGTCGTGAAGACCTACAAGTTGCAATTTTCGGACGGAAATTACTTTCAAGCTGCCTTCAAGTCGTCTTGGACTCAAATATGCACTTCAGATCTCATGCCCTTTTATAAGTTTCACTATACTCGCTAAGCCCAACTTCTGTCTAATAGATAAGCAATTCGCGGAATTCCATAATGAAAAGAATGTAATTGTAAATGCGCATTCAGTATATTCAACATCATCTAATCATCTAGGGCCTTGACTGACACTTCGCTCTTAGGATGGTACGATTGTTGCTGGGAAAGAAAGAGAGACCTAATTGTTTAGCGAAATTCGGGGCATGCACCAACCGTGTAACGACGGGCAAAAGATGCTTAGAGTCTTGCGGGTATACAGAGAACCAGCTCTAGCTCCAATCCGATAAGACATATCGCTTAAGATTAGGGGGCGTATTGGAAAAAACACGGATGCTTTCCACATGTCTTCCAATGCTCAAGAGCTTGAACACGGTCAAGAAGGACCAAGGTGACGAATAAGCATCTACGCTCGAATCTAGAAGTGGCCCGAACGATATTATGTCTACGCTAACTACGCCAGGTATGCAGATTGAACTAAAAGGTTTGCAAAGCATGACATCACATAGTGATTTTATCATGGGATCAACGGCTACTCCTCTCCAATTCGGCCTTCAACGCCATCAATGAATTAGGCGCCCTCTTTGCGCACCGGCCTAGAACTCTAAACCCTCAAAAAAATTATCGTAATACCGGTGAAGAGAACCAAGCCAGCGTACTTTGGACTGTATGCAGCTTTGCTATGCCAGTCGCCCTTCAAGCCGATGACTTCATCGCATACGAAGCCGCTTATGCCGCAACCGATGCCCTTGCCCGCCGCGAACGCCCCCAGAATGACCGCAGTCCCCGCTTTCGAATTCTGCCCTGAGTTCGGTCACACAGCCGGTGCACGTTGCTGTGTAGACCCCAGCAAATGTGCCACACGCGAAAGCGAAGACGCAGAGGACAGGCAAAGTGGTCGCAAATCCCCAGAGGAGAAATACGGATATTGCCGAGCCTTCTGCTGATATTAACAGTACCGTCGCATCAGAGCTGTCAGCTTCTTGCAATAGCTAGATCATAAATTTTGTACAACGCATCTGGCAGGAAGACGTTGGGTACCAGATAGCCAAATCCGTTGACAACGTTGCCAATCTGATAAATCCAGAATAGCCGGGTGCGGAGAAAATTGAGATCTAAAGACAGGACGATGCCTTTCGCCGGAAGTGGGATCCGAGCGTTGACCGAATAGATCAGTGGTGAGAGAAAGGTAAACTAAAAGTATCGGAAGGCCAGTCTGCTGCCATTCTCTTTGGGGATCTACAAGGAGATGAAAACCACGAAGAACGCCCAGACTCGCAGAGTGGTCCGGAATCCGTAATTTTCCGAGCCCCGGTCCATCACCCACCGCAAAACGCGGCTGCAGCCATCTGTGCCAGCCCAAAACACGCCATAGGCTAGCCTTTGCGTGCGACAAACCACTCATCTAGATAAAACAGAAAAAGGATTGTACACCAATGCTCCGCCCAGACTGTACAGCAGTCCCTGACAAAGGATGAGCTGAACGACGCGCGTTTCACACACCGCAGCGATCAGCGAGGACGTGAGCAGCACAAGACCGAGGACCGACACGTTCTTCCGCCGAGACAGCCAGCGCAGCAGTATGACGACGCAGAGTGGAGCAAGCAAGTATGCCAGACTCCATCAAAGCTAAAATTAAAAAGAGGGCTTGTCTGGAGCAAGGAGGAGCAACATTGGTGTGTTGCCATTACCGTCCCACTAGTTGCAATAGCAGCCACGTCTGACTGGCTGGCGCGCGAAGCCTTCATGATGCGTATAGTACTTTTCGAAAACGCCGAGGAAGTAGGGCAGTCCTGAATGGAGAAATGAGTTGCCCGCGTGAGACTGACTTGAATTTAACGGATGTTTTGGGGGGGTGAGGGAGGGGGGCGCTTACTTACCCCATACAATAATGCCCTCGATCCAGAATGCCGCCAGCTAGCAAAAACCACGCGGCTCTGCCGCGATCGGGCGGGTGATACTTTGTCTCCTGCAGCATACGCGATGGTTCAGTGGGCGTATCTCCGTGCGGTTTGGGGCATTGGATTGGATATGGAAGATGCGACTGATAACTCCCTGGATTGAGATAATGTTCTAATGTCAGATTTCAAGCTGAGCTGCTTCTTGTGACCCAGCATATCATATATGGATTTTGAAAATCCGAGAGCTGGGCTCATGGGTCGTACTCTTTCACAGGCTGATTGATCGACCAGGTCGGTTGAATCGATTGATGAAAGGGGTGTGACAGCTTAGTCTTTGATCTCTTGAAAGCTCGAGATGCTTTGTGGCGCTTTCTTACTGAGACATGGGTCTTCACTTTCGGATGCCCTCGGTCAAAGCTAGGAGCTTAATCGGGTAGTTGTAATTAATTAGTAGTTAGAGGCTTGGTACGAGCTAAGTCTACAAACGGGTCTTTGGCTTTAGGGGGCCTTAAGGATACCTATGGCAAACCAAGTAGTTGATTTTATAAATGTTTATTTAAGTAATTGGTTTTGTAGGCAGTTGATCCAACTTGAAGGTCACATTAGCTACTAGCAGTTCAGGTTGAGGTCTCGAACTCAGTTTACTGAACAAATAGTTAAATAATAAGCGATCTCTGGAAATCTCGACGAGGACATAAGTCTTGGGGAGAGCATTTTGCCAAGACCTCTTGACAATGACACGAAGCTATACAGAATTTATATCCTTTCTAAAATGTTTCAAAGAGTCTTTGAAATCTTGGCAGACTAATAATTGAATTAGTTCAATCTCCAGTCGATCCCCTTTCATCACCAAACCAATGGCTATATATAAGCCATTCCCCATCTCATAAGCTGAAGATTTTTAGACAAAAGTGGTGAATGTGAGACATAACATAAGACGACGTGTCAATCATCTCCCCAACATCTCAACCCATCCGAGAGAAACTCCCACAAATGACCCCTCCCTCACCTCGAACAAAGCTGACTCCCATTCCCCGCCCGTTCCGGCCCGCACCTGCCCGAACAACACGCATCATCACTATCCGCACACGCCGTGCCCAGCGGCAAACAATCCCCATAATCATTCCCCATCCCCCCCATCCCCCCCTGCCTCTTCCTGCAAACCCCCCTCCCAGCCTCCCCACCCTCCTCCTTCTCCCACACACACTTATTCACACGCTCCCCCTTCTTGGCGTTACAGTCTTGCGTCTTGGTGCAGTGGCCGCCTTGGCTTAATTCGTCGCCGCCGCCTTTGCAGACGCGCTCGGGTAAGTGGTCGGAGAGGAGTGTAAGGGGGATTTACTGGGCGAAGGCTTCCTCGATGAGGATGGGCTTGGATTCGGTGTATTGGACCACTGATGGGTCTGCGGGTGGAGCTTGCTCGTTTGCTGATGGCGCGACGTGGATGGAGGGGTCTGAGTCGGTGATTTCAAACTCTGTAACGTTATTGGGCGAGGTGTTTTTGTGGGAGGTGGGGGAACTGACTGAGCTTGTAAGGCGCTGCTCTGGTAGTGCAGTGGCCATGATTGATAGATATGCTAACAATATAATGTACACGGAAGTGATTGAAGCTATCATCATGGACTTGGTGATTGAGCCAAAGTTCAAGCTTGGATGTTCGAGGGTATGGGAAACGGAGAGGCTTTGAGAAGGATCGAGAGAATATAGAATATGATGAGTATATAATAGCGTATTTGTAGAGCGCAGTTTACCAACTTACATCATCGCTGGGGTGTCGACTTTGGCCGAGGATCCTCGAGCAGCCCATCTGTTGCATCCGAGAAGCATCGAGGGCTTTCCCTCAGATCCTCACACTCTCTCGGTACCGGATACGAGACATCAAGAACACCGATAAGGACACTTTGTAATGGTGTGTGTAGCGAGTGGATCACAGACCTCCACCTCTTATAGTAGATTGACCAATGAGCTTGTCGCCGAGCATTTCCTCCGAACCTTACACAGTTAAGGTTCATCTACCTTACAGCTAACGGGCGACTGACAGACGTCATCATCAGATACGAGTTGCATTCTCGCAAGTTTACCCTCTAAGAATGTCTGCAACTGATATCACTGAGAGGTTCAAATACTCATCAGCGACTGTTAGAGGTTGTGTAACGGGGTTTTATCCTAATCAGGTCAGAATCTGATGAAGGAAGGGAGTCAGTGACGCCGAATATGAATCGTATCAAGCTGGCCATATGAAAATGCATAGGAGCGTGACCGAAGACCTTCGGCGAGAGTGAAAGCTAATTCTCATAATGTAGACTAGAGGTAAGGGATAGAAAAATCAGTAGAATCGCCTGACCTTAAGGAGGACAAGAAGGAGGTCTTTGTGTGGAAATACCCGTTTATGTCCTTGCCACCAATTCCTAGCTACAATTGCCACTCCAAGCACCAATCGGCCCTAACATCCGGCGCCGGCTGCGTAATCTGTACCTTCCCGTTCTTCCTCAAACGTGCCCCGGTGCAACTATACCTTAGCCACGGCCCCTCCTCAGCCTTCTTCTCTTCATCTCTATCTACATAAACATCCCTACCCTCCTTTTTCAAAATTGTCTCATCCTTCTTTGTCGGCTCGGGGTCAGTGTTGGGCTTGGGATTGGTGCTTCGGCTGGGGCAGGGTCCATAAATTGCCTCCACACCCCTAATAACCTCGCTCGCAACACCCGCCTCGTCCGCAGGAATCCAAATAACAGGTCTCGGCTCCCTGGTAACAGGATCCTGGAACGCGGCTTTGAGGTTTGCGTCGCGCTCCTCGGGGCTTAGATCTGTCAGGGCGTCAGGGTATGAAGCGATCGCTGCCCCGAGCTGGTCTTTTGCTTCACGCTTGTGGGATGGTTCATCCGGGTGGCTTGAGAGAGAAGTGGAATGGGTGGGGAGGTGATGGTAGGCCGATGAGGACGTTGAGGAGACTTGGGCGCGGCGCTTTACGATTGAGAGGGCACGGCGCGCGGAGGCGGCGGTGAGAGTTGACGCATTGGTGGCCGCGCGGTCACGGTTTCGAGTTGTGGGTTGCTTTGGGTTGAGAGATGAGGAGTCGCCGTGGGTGGTGGTCGTGTTAGGCTTTTCTAAGGTCGATAGTTCGATGGCGCTGCTCTTGGCATTGTCGATCGAGGGTATGGTGGTGTCATCATCTTTGCGGGTAAGAAAGCGATCTTTCTCGGCATCGGCTGCTACATCCTCGAGGGTGACTGGTATGAATTCGTAAAGTGGTTTCAGATGCTGTTCCATTACGAAGTGGAAGATAGCCGTGATGATCAAGACGACTATCATGATGATTGCTTGAACCGAGCAGACTACGCGGTTGTCAGTGTCCCGTACGAGAAAGAAGAGCCCAATCAGTGTTATTTCGAGGACATAGATCCCGGCGAAGAGCTGTGACAAGGCGTTGTTGAAGAGGAGACCGTGGGTGTCGATCTTATTCCGTTGAACGAAATAGTAGTTGTGGCGGTAGGCGATCCAGAAGAGTGAGAATGTAATAGACACAAAGAGGAGCACCAGGGGAGATATGATGCAGTAGATAAAACCTGTTGACATTGTTAGTAATTGCGAACTTAGTTTTATCAGTATTTCAGGAACCCTCGAGGTGTGTGATGTGATGTTAGCCTTCAGACTCATAGTCAAAAGCTCGAGGAGGTGAATCCAAGGCCCTTGAGACGGTCCGAAGAACACCTCTGGGGTGAAAGAGAGAGAGAGAGAGAGAGAGAGTAATAAGACGTACCAATGACCGCGAAATTGGTTGTAAGCGAGTACTGATTTGCCCACATCTTTCATAGTATCAGCATTTACCCGTTAAAGGCAGTCGGAGGAGGAACACACCTGATGTGGTATCGTGGTTTGAAGCCAAGCTTCCTCTCGTGGTGTCTGCGAGAACAAGGGCCAGATCAACGTAATATACAAAATGCGCAAATACTGGAAGAGTAGACTCCCAGTGAAGGTCAATGCCTGGACGATAAGATAATTGAAGAAGTAGTTTGCTGATCGCGGGAGGTCAGTCGCGAGAAGCAGAGGGGTGCTGATAGGATTATTGGCAATCTTTGGAATGACGTTTGCTATGCCTGAAGAGATCGATGTGACGAGCACTAGCTCAATGAATAAGAATGTGAAATAGAAGTTCTGGGCTATAGTTTCGCGTTTACTGCGAGTTGGCGCACCAACGAGGACCGCCAGCTTTCGACATAAGGCTGGAACGACGAGCTGGACCAGGAGAAAGAGTAGGATTGACACCAAAGGACCTAACGCTGTGTTAGCTCTCCAGTACGGGAGTGGGGTGCCAAATGTTGGTTATGTACCTGAGATCAAACTGATGACCCATGAGGGCCACGGCCTGAGCCAGATCAGCCACTTGACTGACGCTCTAAGACTATCAAGCTGCGAAACAGACGCCAGAAGAGTGGTCGGTATACCCCAGAGGAACAAGATAGCGACGAACAGAACCAGAGCGATGCATGTTCTAATGAATCGCCCCAGGGAGGTGACATTCATATTGGGCCATAGGATCTCATGGGGAGAGGCCTCAAGATATCGTGGAGCCATACATCCGGCCCTGTCGTGGCTCACGAGTGCACAACACATGTGCGCAGCCATTTGCCTATCGAATTGGATGAATGCCGAGTTCTGCTTCGGGAACAGGGTATCATCATCAAGGTTCTGAAGCATGGATTCGATTTCGATAGTCAGGCGTGCTATTTCGTATCTCAGCCAGGCAATCTTTGGTACGTTCTTCTGTGATCTTTTGATCCAGAATTTGAGCGTTGACGCGGGCTGCCATATGCCGTTGTCTGATTGCTCGATGATTACCATTGGGCCGGGAGAGGGGTTGACGTATCCATGCTGCGGTTGTATTTGCTGACTGCAGTCCTTTTCAAAAGCGGCGTCGATGTTCTCATTATCGAAATGCAGGTGGCTATATTGGCCGTCAAGTTGGTTTTCGTTGACTAGAGGCTCACTCGACATGCGATTCGTTGGTTTCTGGGGCGTGGATGCACCAGCGGTCTTTTGAGAGCTTTTGTTAACATGCCGTAAAATCTTCAACTCGGCTTTCTCTAGAAGATGGCGCAGACTTCGACGGCGGGCTGCTAAAGCCCTCAGAGCGCCATAGTCACGATTGATCCAAACGCTGAGCTTATCATGGTCGTCATTATCCACAAAGACATCGTAGAGGGCCTCTAAAGCGTCTTTACTGCGATACTTGGTCGGTATGTTTGTGATCAGGACGGTCTTTGCTGATGCCTTCAGTCTGTGTTCTGGCGATGTCAGGAAGCGCTGTCGAACGTGGATGAAATTGAGCTTCTCGCGATATATTCGGTAGAGACTCCAAGAAATAGTTAATAAAGCACAGATCAGATGTCCCCAGTAGCGATGGGTCTTCTCCGGTGAAACGTTTTGCCAAGACAAAGTATCTAATCCGGTGACGTTGAATGCAGTCGTCTGATTGTGGAATCGGAAGACATTAGTGTCTCTGCCGCCGTGGTAGTTGATTGGTAGCAGTGCAGTAATTACAATACACATCAAAGGTACGAAAATGATGAGTAGTGCACGAAGCAGTCGGATGAAAAAGTAACCATCGAGCCCGCACTTAGCGGCAAGTTCTTCGTCTTCCAGGCTCCAGATGCGACGCAGCCATTTCAGAGGATTCCCAGGTACTGATTCAACTCGCAATCTATGTTGTACAAGGTATGTCTTGGGCTGACTGCGTGGTATAAGCCAGTGACTGGCAGACAACAAGTATGGGAGCTTACTAGATCCTGCGCCCGATGGCCGAACTCTTCAGCAAGAAGAATCCTGAAAGCTGGACAGCAAAAGTCGCTAGCGCAATGCCGAGATTGAGCACGAATGCTTTGACTTGAATGCCTTGCGTATTCTGCGCTGCCCCTGCGTTCCCTTTCAAGAAGTCGTTGACAGGGTTGCCTGCAGCTGTATTGTTCGACATGATTACGGCCCACAGTCCATCGTCAGAGGCTTTGTCAGTGTCTTCTTGCTGACATCGTGTACCATTGAATAGTAGCTGTTTCCCGGTCGAGTACAATGCAGCGATGAAGATGTCGGTAGAGTTGAAGAGACTTGCAAGACTTGGAACGGAAAGTCGATGACACTGGTGCGTATAAGTGTGACAAGATATACAGCACAAGGGGTAGGCCGGAGTCCACTAGTGGTCCGGGCCGCTTTGACGCAACTCTGAATGACGTAGCTCGGTAGGTTCATAGGGAGAGGACCCGCACAGGGCGGAGGTCTCACATGGTTTTGGAGCACATAACATTACGGAGATCACATTATGTAGTACAACAGCTGTGAAGAGAATCCAAACTATTGTATCATGTAGCTATTGAACATATCATGAGTTTGGTCGCCAATGGCGTGGCGCAGCTTCCAACTCTGCAGCACAGCAGAGGTCAAAGGTTAAGATAGTGGTATCATTTGAAGAATTCAGACTACTTGTGCTAGAGGAACTTTATCTTACATTCACGCTATGCTATGGCACTGAAGACATCGACAGCAAACCAACGCGATAAATGCACGCAGCCAACTTTCCAGCAATATCTAAAACACATCTTCACTCTTTACAAATAGCAAATCCCGGGAGTCGCTTCTTAGCTTATACATTCTGGTGTAGACAGACCTGTCTGAATTTCAAATCGGCCCTCTCTTCACATATCGGAATGCTGAAGAAGCACTTCGGATAACCCCTTCCTGGCGGCAATCCCGAGATATCGTTAAGTGCAGGGACACCGTCGCCGTTAGGATGATCTACGCTGCAGTCCCTTACATTTCGATAGACATGCTCAATATCGATATCATATTTCTTGAACAGGGCCATTCCGTCCTTCAGGCTCGACGGCAGCTCAACGTCTTTGGTGGGGTTGTCAACGTACATGATCTTGAAACAGCGGCCGTCGACGAGCCGATCCAGTTCGTCCAAGTTGCATTTGTCGGTCCATAACTTGTCATCCTAGAAGCCATGTCAGTCAGGCTTAATGAGGGATTCAACTGGCAGCAAGTGACTTACGCTCCATCGAATAAAGATCCTCGCCGAACCAAGTGCTCCGGCAAAGAGTGCCTTGCGCTACGTTTCACGTCAGCCGCTATTAGCCTATGATTCCATTACGTGAAATAAGCATACCAGGTTCAATGTGGTTTCCTTCTGTATCGACTTGAAATCGAAATTTCCTCCATTGACGAAAACGCCGTTATCGAAGAACCGCGAGGGTAGGTACAGATTCTTATCGTTGGGGCCGAGAGTCAAAGGGATCGTAGCCTCATCGGTCCAGTCATCGCCATTCTTCCACATCCATGCGGCGAAAGTCTTCAGTTTTTCAGATGTCTCTTCCAGAGCGCTTCTTAGTCGTTGCTCCAATGCCTTTTTGGTATCTTTGATTATATCATCTGTTTCCGCCGAATCTGCCGCGTCATTGTTATTGGCGATCTGTAGGTCATCAGTGATCATTGGTTTGTTCTGCAGCTAGCAACGGTCTTACACTGAATACTCCAGAGATGGTCCCAAATCCAGCCACGAGGGTAGGACCGATGCCTGGCACCGCTCCCCCTACACCAGCGGCGATCCCAAGAGCTACAGGAATCAGTCAGCTAGGCGAAAACGACTTGTATTTGCAGGATGTTCATACATGACCCCACCATGCCAAGAATAGTCCCTTCTTTAAGCCGATCATCTCGGAAAGAGTAAACGACATCATCAACAATTGAATCAACATCAAGCGCCTCCATCAAGACAGACTGTTCGAACACCTCCAGCATCTGACCCAGCCACTGGTGCATGTTCGAGAAGGCAAGCTGGACCCACCACGCTATACGACTGGTCAGCATCGTTCCTGCCACCCGTTCTTCAGATCAGCCTGAATGGCATTTACTCACCACTCGGATTCCAAGCATCCTCGCACTTCCCAGGCGCAGGACAATGACTATCATCTGTAATCTCGGCGCAATTCATAGTCGACTGACCAGACCCCGACTGCGCTCTATCGATGGCTTGATCGAGACCCTTCAAGGAGCCCATCTTGCCGCTCCCCCGCATGGCAATGATGTTGTCGAGATACGTGCCCGCACCGCTTTTAGACCAGACATCAACTGGGTTGTTTTTGTCGAGTGCGCAGATATCGGGGGTCTGGGCGTTGCCTTTGGGTGGTTTCGGAGCCTATGTCATGTTAGCACACGTAGGGAGTCGATGGGTGGAGAGAGAATGGTGAGGGGAAGAAGTGGTGAAAGGGATGTTTCGGCTCACTCACGTCTCGGGTACTGAGGTCACCCATAGGCGTGCAGTAGACGCCGGTGTTGATGAAGATGCCCCAGAGTGTCATACATGTTAAGCCTGTCCGGACGCTTTGGTTGATGGAGAATCTTGTCATGATTGGTAAGTACATAGAAGAGTTGCTTCTTGATAATGAAGTACCATACCAGCGAACCCTCTCTCTTAAATATTGCATGAACATCCAGCACGCCCCATTTCCAAGACAAATCTCGCACCGCAAGCCTCATCTTCCCAACAAAAGCCACCTCCGCAACATCATGAGCCTCAAATTCAATCCCCCTTGAAACTGATCGAGCCAAAATCCAGCTCAGCGGACCAGGCTCAAAGGTCCGTCACAACATAGACTTCTCTCAAATCGAAAGCGCCTCCAATATGGAGTCCCCTTGAAACCAAAGCCGCAGCAACCGAATCAAAGCCTAGCCTAGCAGAAGCCACACGAAAAAAAATCCTCTTGACCAGATGAGCCTCCACATCAACCTCCAACGCCATCTACAATTCCAATCACCACGAAACAGAAAGCCCAGCTCGAAACAAAACAAGAAAGCCAACATCCATAATTCCATTTCCTATGAAACAAACCTTCAGTAGGAGTCACGCTGCACAGCGGCTACAGTACAGTCCACACGTGGGTTTCTGGATGAAGGATTTCTCACCCGGGCGCAAAGCAGCGGCGCGAAGGATTGTGGCCGCCCGTGCAGTGACCCCACCCCAAGCAACGCTCTCGACGCCTGCGAGATGATGTTTGGGGGGGAAAGGGGGTTGAAATACAGGTGCAAGGTCAATTGTATCTATGCGTGAGTCGATGTCCTTATTTCAACTAGGTTATGTCTATATGATATTTGTAGCGCGGGGACGGGGGGTGGGGGGAAGGTTCACGTGGCATTAGCGTGTGATGGATAAAATTAATTCCTTGGTATGAAAAATCTTCTACACCCCTATACTATTTTGTATAGGCCTGTTGAACTCCTACTACTAATAACTATTTCTATTGCTTTTAAAGCTACGAAATTGCAATATACTGAAATTTTTATTATAATAGCTACTATAGCTCCTTGCAAAACTAAAAACTCTAAAAAAGCAGCTACTACTTTTTTTCCTTTTTTTTCTTTTCCTTTTTATTATTATTATTTTTTTCTTTTTCTTTTTCTTATTTGTTTTTAAATTAATTATATTCTTTTAAAGTTAAGTTTTTAATTATAAGTTTAAGCTTAACTATCTAGCGGCTTTAAAGAGATTTCTTTTATAAGAATAATACTTATATAAATAAATTAAAAGAAATAACTAATAAATATTATTATACTTTTAATCTTAAATAGTATTGCTAATTACCTAAGGAAAAAGTAGTATTATAGCGATTGATACTAAAAGATAAAAAAAAGCTATAGCAATTAACTTTTTAAGGTTATTGTATTAGTAATCTTAATAGATTACTAAAAGCATTTTATAGTTAATTACCTATTATACTAAATATTTAATAGCGTAGGATACTTTTTAATATTAATATTAATTCTAATTTTTATTTTTAGATTAAGTAACTTACTTTAAAACTTAATCTTATTAATATATATAATCCTCTAAATTGTTAGAAAATTAATAAAGAAATATTATATTTTAATTATTCTAATTATACTATTAAGGAAAAATATTAAACTATTTAAAATATAGCTTAGAATTTTTATTAGTTAGCTATTATTTTTTTGATAATTAGGATTTTCTATTAAAATAATAGTTATAGTAGTAAAGAAGCTATTAAAGTTTTTTTTTATACTAACGCTAAGATCTATATATATATTAAATATTATTTTCTAAGTAGTAGTAGCTTTAAAGGACTTAAATTTAAGAATTCTAAAGAAGAGAATAAATATAATAAGCTATAGAATAGTTAGAATTATAAATACTAACTATATATAATATTTAAGAATATAGTAAGTAAGGTTATAAAAGCTACTATCTAGCAAGGCAAAATTAATACTTAAGATTTTATTACTAAAAATTATTTTAATATAGATTTTTAGAATAAGATTATAATTAAGATATAAAAGAATAAAATAAAGGATATATTTAATATTATAATATTAATAAAAGCTAATACTAATTAAGCTATGTAATAAAAAATTATAATTAAAAATTTATTAATAAAGTTATAGTCTAAAAATATTAAGTTAATAATTAAAAATTAAGCTATTTAATAGAATATTAATAAACTATTAATTATTAATATTATCTATACTAGTTAAATTAATTTAAATACTTTTATAAAAGTTATTATTAGTTAAGCTATTAGTTCTATTAACAATTCTTTAAGATTAATATATACTAATTAGTTTAAAATATTATTAGCTATTAAATAGAATATTAATAAAGATACTATTTAGTATAATATAGTTATTATTAATAGATAAGCTTATAAAAGTAATTTATATAGAGTTAATCCTAAGTGTTCTCAAACTTATTAAATTTATTATAAATAATATTATAGTATTATTACTAAGAAATAATATATATAGAATAAAATAATTATAAAACAAGAAGCTACTATTAATAAGCCTTTATAAAATCTTATTATATATTTAATTAATAATAGTCTAATTATTTTAAAATTAAAAACTATTTTAATAAAACTTAAAGAGGAAAAAAAGGAGGAAAATATAAAAATTATAAAAATAAAAATAAATATTAAGATTAAGAAGAATATTAATAGGAATATTAGGAGGATTAAAAAAATTAAAAAGAAAATTGTTAATAATTATAGGAATCTATAAGATTTATAAAACAATAATATTAAATTAAAATAATAGATAATATATTTAAATCTATATAAAAATAATAGCTAAATAACTAGTAATTTACGCTATTTATTAAGCCTAAACTACTTTGTTTTCCCCTAAATTTGCTATTATAATACTAGCTTCAATTGCAAGGCTATATTATTAATCTTTTTATTTAATTATTTAGTTTTATTTATTTTCTAGAGGATAATAAAGCTATACTAAGGGTATTTTTTATATAGTTAGTATATATTAAGAGTATTAATAATATAGATTTACGTAAAGCTATATTAAATTTCTATAAAATAATATAAGCTTAGTTCTAGAATAGCTAGTATCTATATTAAATATTATTGTCTAAGTCTAAGCTATATAAAGTAGTAAAAAGAGAAAATATCTTAGATAGTATTCTTTAATAACTATATAATTAGCTTTATAAATTCAAGGAAATTTAGTACTAGTGAAATATATAAGCTAGTTAAATACTTGTAAATATAGCCGCTAATAAAGAAAAATAATTTTTATAATATAAATTATTACTTAATATTATTATATTATATAAAATCTTTAAGTTTTCTTTTAAATTAACTAAGATTACTATTAAATAAATAGCTATTTATATAGTAATAGAAATGTTTACCTATAAAATAGTTATATTAACTCTTTTCTATTATAAAGGCTAAAAAACTATAGAAGTTATATAAAAATAGATTATATAGTTATTAGAAATATTATTTTATTTATAGTTTTAAAATACTAAATATTAGCTTAATTAGGTTATAATTAAAAAAGTAAAGTAGTAAAAAGCAAATATATATCCCCCTACTTTTTATTAAATCTTTAAGCTAATAATTTATATATATATTATCATTATTTAAGTAAATTATATTATAAAGACTAGGAAATAGGTTATAATTTAATAAAAACTTATACTTTATTTATTTAAAAAAAGTATTTATATTATAATAATCTTTTTAAATACTAGTATAAAATAGATAGCTATTTATAGTATATATAGGCAAAATACTATAAGTATTATTATATTATAAATAATTATTTTATTATTAAGCTAAGGACTTTAATAAATTATAAGCTATAGATTGCTAAATAGTTAATAAACTAAATAATAACTTATTAATAAAAACGAGTTGCTTAGTAGTATAATAGCTTACCTATACTTATTATTCTATTTGCAATTAATTATTATATAGTCTAAGCTACTATCCTTTTTTTTAACTAATACTAAGCTCTTTTAGAATTTTATTAATAAAAAAATAACTAATATTTATATTTTATTTATAATAAAGAAAGTTAGCTAGCTTAGTTTAAAAAAAGTAAAAATAATATTGCTAGTAGGAAAAAAAGCTTTAATATATAGTAAGGTAAATACTCTTTAAAAAACTAGGATAAATATAATATAGTAGATAAGTAGTATTATATATTTATACTTATTGTTTTAGCTTCTAAGCCTAAATAATAGAAATATAAACTTCTTTTACTATTACTTAAAAGTATTAATAAGATTTAAAAAGCTTTTCTACTTTATACTTAATAAAGGAGTTAAGCTAATAGGAATCCTAGAATAAAAGCGCTATACTAGCTAACAATATTATAATTAGCTTATATAATATAATTTTAAGAATTATATTACTTTTTAAGGTATTTAAAAAGTTATTAATAATAGGAGTTTAATAGGCCTATATAAAATAATATAACGGTATAAAAGATTTTTTATACTAAGGAATTAATTTTATCTATTATATACTAATATAACTACTTTAACTAAATCTTGAATTTACTGCGCCACTTAATAGATAAAATAAGGCTTAGTATAGGACGCAATTTAAGCCTCTCCTATATTTTATATTTTAGGGCAGTTTAGCAAGGGAGGGAAGGAACTTAGTATTTAGAATATTCTGCTTATATTATATTATATTATATTATTAAAGTCTTGGCAGAAAGAGTATATCCCCCTTTATTATATATTATCTGCAGAGTAGCGCTCTATTTATCTCTATAGTAGCTATATATATATATAGTCTTATTACTCTATAATTTAGTTATATAGTTAGAGCTTATATTGTAGGCAAAAGATATATAAGCTTTATGTAAGCGAAGAGAGCTAATAATATACGAGACTTATAAATATATATCTAAGTTAAAATAAAGTAGAAATAATTAAAGAAGAGGGTAGCTATATATTGCAATTAAGTATATATTATTAGTAGTATACCTATTGTATCTATGTGAGCAGCGTCAGTAGAGCTTACTATAATACGGTCTATATAGTTGATAGGAATGTACTTAGCCTATCTAGAAGAGCAATAAC